TCTCTCTCTCTCTCTCTCTCTCTCTCTCTCTCTCTCTCTCTCTCTCTCTCTCTCTTGTTGCATATTAAAGTCAAACCATGGATAAATATCAGTGCAGACAATCATCGTACGTTGGAGTGGCGTCTTTAAAAAAAAAAAATCTTTCCTTCTTTCAATTTTAATATGCAAGTGTAGTCTGATGGAGGAAGTATCACATATTGAAATGATCAGAACAGATGCGATTCCCCCGATCGACTCTTAGCCATGGATAAATATCAGTGCAGACAATCATAGTATGTTTGAGTGGCGTCTTTTAAGTTTTACTTTCTTTCTTTCAATTTGAATATGCAAGTGTAGTCTGATGGAGGAGGTATCAGATATTGAACTGATCAGAACAGATGCAATGCACCTGATCGATTTTTAGCCAGAGGGTCAAGAAGGGTATCTCCCGGTAGGAATATTTCGCTTTTCTTTCCTCTCTTCTCTCATGTTTCCCAAACTCTGGCATCTACCCTACATCATGAACACTTCCATAAATTTGACGTGGCATGAGAACTAAAATTTGACAGCCAACTTTTTTTTGTGGCGCACCCCCTTCCCCCATACACGCGGTAGGCTGAAACCTGCCTGCGGCCTGCGTTTGTGCGCGGATGATTTCACAGAAGAAACAAAAGGATAGGGAAACGATGCCTCTGCATCCCTTCATCGTATTCCATCTTAGGGGTCCAGTGCTGAGGCTGGACTCCATCAGCATTCAGCACACCAGAGTGCCCACACAGTTCACCCTGTGCACTGTTTTACCCACCACAAACCTGGATTGTTTATTCTGCTCAGATCTGTGTCTTAATAACCTATGGCTTGAAACAGTGCAACTGGGTATCATCCAGCGTATGCAACCACTTGGGCATTGACCCTAGTTCGGCCCCATGGTGCTTGAAACTGGTTGGGCCTGGTTTGAAACCAGGCCCAATTGGTTGGGCCTGGTTTGAACCCAGACATTGACCATAGTTTGGCCCCATGGTGCTTGCAAATTGGTGTAGTTTGTTAAAACAGGCCAAACTGGTCACATAGGCTTGATAATTACTTTGCAGGGGGACAGTTTGGCCAAACTGGTCACATAGGCTTGATAAGTACTCTGCAGGAACAGTCAGGCCCAAACCGGGGTCAATGTAAGGGCCCACGAGGCTGCATTTCATATTCCCACCCAAATGGGTATCATCCCACATATCCAACCACCTGGCCTGGTTTGAACCCAGGCATTATTGACCTCAGTGCCTCCAAGATCTTTTCGGGACCACAAAGCCTTCTCCCTCCAAACCCAAGCCTTGCCTGAATAGTAAAGATTTTGCAACGGTGTTCAGTACCAAAAAAATATCTACAGCATAGGGTCCCATGGACTGGTGGTCACTATGGGGGTCTAGTGTCCTGGATTAAACCCCACCGGTACACACGGGGCCTGACCACGCTGCACTGCACTGCGCACCAAGCTAAGCCTTTCCGAAACACATGCGGCGCACTTCTTTTCCATTTTGGCTGCCGCCTCCATCCATTGAGGTACAGTAGCCCCGAGCCTTCGAAATGTAGGAATGATCGAGCCATGACGAAATCTTGCCGGCCTTGCAGGCCCGGGGCCATGTATTAGCAGTTCAGGGCTTTAGGGTTTAGGTGTTGTAGGACTCACGGTAGGTTTCAGGGTTTAGGGTTTAGGGTTCGGGGGTTAGGGTTTAGGGCTTAGGGTTTGGGGTTTGGGGTTTAAACTACCAGTACTTGGGCATCGCGCAACGCGCCGGCCGCCCAAATCTCGAAGCAGCGTTAACGCTAAGGCGTCGCCCAAGTACTGGTGGTTTAAGGTTTAG